ACTGCAGCCATAAGTCAGTGGGTGTCACTGCTACCCATGATCCATAACAACATATTTGCTTGTTGGTGCTTGACAAGCCATTCCATTCTGTGTGCCAACATATGCTTTCAACGTAGCATAAACAAATCTTTATTTGATGTGCTTATTTATGTGCCAATGCTGTTTGGATTAATCAACTGCTTGATTGCTCAGATATGACTAGAAGTAAGTATTAGGTTGCACAGACACTGTGTTCACAGAGTCAACTCTTAACTCCAATACTGCTGTCATTCACGCCACCAAATTTTACATTAGTGATTTGACTATTATTATATGTGATTAATTTGTAAACTAGTGATTCTGCTGCCTGTCATAATGTGTGATTCATAATAGATGCCACTATTTCCTACATAGTAAAAATACAGAAAATATAAAAGCACTATGAATCCTTGTTATTGCACTGAGCAAAGCGTTACATCATGGATATAACAAGGAGTAAATTAAAAAAGTGGTACTCTGACACAGTCAGCTGGCATACAAGTGATAATAAAATTATTCCTGATTTGTATGAATCTCAGTGTTGATAAATTAATTGCCTTTATTTTATTATCACTTGTATGCCATCTGACTGTACTCTGACTAGTTTCCATGGAAACAATGAGTTTGTGATTTTCCCAAACCTCTACTCTGGCGGCCATTTTGAATTGAAAATTCGTCAAAATGCATACATGTAAGGTTCCTAGTTTGGGTACCCAAACTTATAGCTAGTCACAAAAAATACTTGAACAAAATTTCAGGAAATTCTTCTGTCAAAAACGTTAGCCATGTCATGTCCATCTTTAAATGATTTTTTTTTTTCTGTAAATTTAACTGACAACCTAAGATTACCAATATATAAAATATGATACTTCATCAGTTTCAATGAGTGGGGGCGCTGTTCATTTGTTTTAAAATATTACATTTTGATTAATATTAAGATATGACAATGATGAATTACATGGGGTCTGCAAGTAAACTGATATGCACTGTACAAATTTGAGATGCAGCTTTTCTGCAATTCTTGATCAAAACTATAATTCTTGATTTTTTAGGTAAATAGCTCTGTATTCTGGAGAAAGTAAGATGCCGATCTGCAGCGAAACATACACAAAAATTAGTATCAGAGACAATATTGTTTACTGACTGTTTATTGCATATATTTACATAAAGATTAATGAGGCCTCCTCACAAAATATGCTTTTCAGTCTAAAAACAACCTCATGTATAACTTTCTAAAAGACATTCAGTAGAATTGATTATCTCAATACCTAAATATTTCAGTGTGCTATTTATGTAAATTAGTTGTTATGCAAATTTATGCAGGTATGAATAGCTAATATGCAAACTACCCATTTACTTCAGTTCAATTACCTCTGGTTCTGTTATTTAAAACAAAATGTAATCGCAATCTTTGTAAAAATGTGACAGTTTTTGCTATCATAAGCAGAACAATAATGCCATGGTAACAAAGGTGCTAATTAATGCAAACAGAGTATCTAACTTCGATTCAGTGTTTCGTGATCAGATTACACAAATTATCTGAAACAATACTTTAATTAATTTTAACTGTTTTGACCATATTGTTTAAAAATTAAAATTAAACAAATTTTACAAAGAGGGAAATGAAAAGTGAAATGAAATGCGCAGCTCTCTAAAAATATATACTGATAACATGACATGGCTGGCATATGTCAAAATATGCTTGAAAGATGTATCTTTAGAATTGAATACAAAGATGAAGGAAACAAAAACTTTTATCCTATTTGCAACTATGTTTATAATATTGACAATATCAATGTAGATAAATTCACTTCATGAGATCTTACTAGGATCATCATTGCATTTCAAGGACAAGTTGCTTACTCACATGTGATACCCTTGGTCCTAATATTATAGCAATTACAATTATTAGTATATTTGTAGAGATATGTGGTATATATAATCAGAAGTCTATTTTTGTATATTTGATTGTACAATGCTTTCTGTGTTTTTTTTAAATGTCTTAAAATTTTCCAAAAAAAAAAAAAGGTTCTTTTATTCTATTTCAAACTTAAAGTAGAATTTAAACATGTTTGGCTGCATTTGTGTTACGTGCAATATATTTTAATGATAACTCAGTACTTTTTAGAACTGTCCAAAAATGAGGACGCCCTCTGTAGTCAATGATGTCTCAGTATTATTCAGCAGCCCAATTTCCAATTGAGACTGAAACTGTTTTGTTCACTTGATTTATTTCTCTGACGTATTAGCTTGTATCGTGTATAGCTGTGCACTCCGTACATCAAGGGCATTATGGTCCCCTTGTTCAAAACCATGGGTGACATTGATCTCTGTACAGATTATAACTCTAAATGCATGGCTTGTATTTTGTCAACATCCAGACACTATAATTCCTCTATTAGCTGAACCACTGATTTTTTTTTTTAAAAAAGAATAATTTCTTTTTCTTAATCAATTTCGACCACCCAATAGAAAATGTTTCTTCTTACTTATAATAAAATAAAACGCCTTTGACACTTTCTGTATTTTGTTTCCATTTCACACTTTTTCTTTTTTGAAATGACCTCCCTTGATACCTTTAATTCTATTATTATTTTAACATTGACTGAAACAAGTATAATTTTAATTTTTCATCTTAACAATTTAGCGACCCGATCCAATAATAGAAGAATTATGATACATCTTTTTTTCATCTTTGCTCATGAAATTAGACTGTTTTTTATTTAAAAGATTACGTTTTTATTCCATGTTTTTATCGTTCTGAGATGATTTTAGTAGACACCTGTTGTCGTCATTCCTTTTAAATACACTGAATAGCAGCGTACCATTCCTCTGCCTATAGTGGTCACGATACTTATTTGAACTACAGTATATTTTTTGCTGTATTTTCATCATTGGTCTGTAATGTTCCTCCTTATTAGTCGCTTACATTTTACTGTAATGTCAAGGGATTTTATATTTACTAATTCTACTGGAGTATAAATTGAAATTAAGGAATGAATACCCATCTTTGAAAACTTGATATTCACGGCTAGAAGGAATTGCAATGTATTTTTTTAATCATTATCCTTTAATATGTCAACTTTTAACCAATAATGCAACTCACATGTGATTTATTTACTATTTGGCTGATGCCACATTCTGTCAAAAAGTCCAGTAAAGACACAAATATATTAAAAAAAGTGTAGGTGATGATTTAACTGCGACAGATATACTGTAAATATAGTGTGAGTTGATCTCTGATTTACCTACTAATGCTTTAGAAACGTACGCATGCTTGCACCAACTGAAAAGCTGTGAATGCCGCTGCAAGTATTGTAACCATGGTAACAGCAGCCCACCATACAGCAGCTGTATGAAGTATGATACCACAATTCGCATACTGATTGGCTGCTTATAAACTATTCACTGTCTATTCACCCAACCAACCAGCTGTTGCCGATAAAATTTCTAAAATGTCAAAGGGCAATTGCAAGGTACTGAAGTCCATATAAGGACACAGCAATATAAAAATCTGGTGTATCAATTTATTTATGGATTATAATAAAAAATACCAATAATATATAATCTATTTTATTTTTGAAATATCTGTGTACAACTATATTGCTCAAAATGCTTTCACTGTCAATGAACTCTTGGTTTTTACTGAATTTGTTTTATTATCAGTCTACTTTGTCCAAGCAAGAAATTTGTTGTGATGGCATTTATATGCTTTGTATAAGTTTTATTGATTATTTTCTAAATAAGTTTTTTTTATTTATTTATTTACAGCATTGAACTGTTTGCAAATAATAGTAAAACAAATATTGATTGCATCAGAATTCTTCTTTGTCTTATTTCTTCTTGTCTAGAGTACCATATATCTATAGCGTTTTAGTAATTCTTGAATCATGATTCAAAAATATCAAAGACAAAATGTGGATCACAAATACTGAAATGAAATTTTGTGTGTGCGTGGGTGCTTGTGCGTGAAGTATATAAGTTCTTTGGAATTAGCCTTATGTACATGTTTAGTTTAGGGTTGAATTTTGTGCTTAATAAATACCTAATTTGCATAAATTAACCAAATTATAGGTGTTCCAAAGATACCTTGAGTGACACTCATGAAATTTCAATTAAACTTCATACATAGGTGCTTTTGGATAACCCACAGATCTGATTACTTCTGGGTTGAAAGCCATGCATATTAATAATCTAATTTGTATAAATAAGGACATGTGACCTTATTAATCTGTGAACAAATTGAAAACCTTTGTTAAATCCACGATGTCAGATAATTAACTCATATATTCTCACAATGTCCCCGATTCCAATATACTTTAAAAACGCCAGCTTATGTTGTGGTTGTTTCAACATTGAGGGCGCCAACGTCGCTTTTGAAGTACTAGCGCCCTCATAGACTTTTAGCTTCCTTCAATTCTCTTCTCGTGTTTGAAAATAATTTGACATTGATTCGAGGAAGACTCATAGGTATCTTGTCATAATGTATTTAATTAGGGTACATTTACTAGTCGTGATAATGTTGCCATGGAGTCTTAAAGTACTGTAACATTATTGATTAATCACCGACTAATAATATTGAAACAAGTGATGCAGATTGTGTTCGTACAACATGGGTAATCGCAATCTGATTAAAATAAGATCCTAGTTTGGGCTTTTTTTTTTTTTTATGGTAAAATAATATTATTTATTAAATTATTATAATCCCACGTGAGCTCTCGCGATTACCAAAACTTAAAA